CCCTTTATTACATGTAATATTCATTGCATCATGATCTGAAAAGGATGCGTTTAATATTTCTGCCTTTCTATGTGGGATTGGGAGGTTTTTATGCCCAAGTACATGGTCAGTTTTTGTGTAGGTGCCATGTACCACTGAGAAAAAGGTATGTTCCTTTCTGTCCTCATTCATTTTTTTCCCAGAGGTCTACCATATCTTATTCTTCTAAAATTCTATTCACCTCCTTAATTTCTTTCTTGTTTATTTTGTGGTGAGATTTATCTAGCTCTGAGAGGGGGAGATTGAGGTTCTCCCACTAGTATAGTTTTGCTTTCTATTTCTACGTGTAACTCACTTAACTTCTCCTCTAAGAATTTGGATGCTATACCACTTGGTACATATAGGTTTAGTATTTATATTACTTCCTTGTCTATGTACCTTTTAGCAGGATGTACTTTCCTTCCTTATCTCTTTTAATTAGATTTTTGCTTTTACTTTGTCTGAGATCAAGATTGCTACCCCTATTTTTTTTTACTTCAGCTGAAGCAGACTATATTCTGCTCCAGCCTTTTACCTTTACTCTGTGTGTATCTCTCTGCTTCATATGTATTTCTTGTAAATAGTGTATTGTAGGATTATAGTTTTTAATCTAGTCTGCTATCTGCTTCCGTTTTATGGGAGAATTCATCCTATTCACATTCACAGTTATAATTACTAATTGTATCTTTCCCTCCATTCTATTTCCCTCCTGTTTATACTTTTCTGTCTCCTTTCTCCCTTTCCCTCCTCACCAAGGTTTTGCTTCTGACCTCCCTTCTATCAGCCCCCTTTCCTTTTCTTTCCCCTTTTCCCTTACTACTTCTTCCCTCCCTTCTATCCACCCTCTTTCTTTTCTTTCCCATTTCCCCTTCTATTTCATACAGAGTAAGACAGATTTCTATATGCAGTTGGGTGTGTATATTATTCCCTCTTTGAGCCAAATCAAAGTAAGGTTCAAACAATGCTCGCCTCCCTCCCTCCCTTCTTTCCCTCTACTGTAATAGGTCTTTGTACCTCTTCATGTAATTTACCCTTTTCTGCCTCCTCCTTTCTTCTTCTCCCATTATAATCCTTTTTTTCACCTCTTAATTAATGATTTTTTTTAATCACTACATCAAAGCCAACTTATATCCACACCCTCTATCTATGTATACCCTTTCTAAATGTCATAATAAAGATACAATTCTCGAGAGTAACAAGTGTTATCTTCCCATGTAGGGGTGTAAACAGTTTAGCCTTATTGAATAACATGTGGGTTTTTTTTTTCATTTCCTGTTTACCTTTTTATGCTTCTCTTGAGTCTTGTATTTTAAAATACTCTGTTCAGCTTTGGTTTTTTCATCATGAAAGTTTGGAAGTCCCCTATTTTGTTGAATGTCTATCTCCTCCCCTGTTTTGCTGGATAGTTGATTCTTGGTTGCAATACAAGCTTCTTTGTCTTCCATAATATCATATTCCATGCCTTCTGATCTTTTAATGTAAAAGCTGCTAGGTCCTGCACAATCTAGACTGTGGTTCCACAGTATTTAAATTGTTTCTTTCTGACTGCTTGTAATATTTTCTCCTTGCCCTGATAATTCTGGAATTTGGCTCAGATATTCCTTGGAGTTTTCATTTTGGGATCTCTTTTGGGAGGCGATTGGTGGATTCGTTTTTCGCAATATAACTCCTATGGAAGTGTTTTTCATGACTACGCATGCGTACCCTGTTTTGAGTTGCTTGCCATCTCAGTGAGGGTGGGTGGGGAGGGAAGAAGGGAGAGAATTTGGAACCCAAAGCAGCTTTAAAAACAAATGAAAAAATTGTTTTTACATGTAACTGGGAAATAAGATATACAGGCAAATGGGTATAGAAATCTATCCTGTCCTACAGGAAAATAGAAGGGGAAGGGGATAAGAGAAAGGTGAGGGGTGATGGAAAGGAGGGCAGATTAGGGGAAGGGGTATTCAGAATGCATGCAGTCTTGGGAGGGGTGAGATGGGGAGAAAATTTGGAGCTCAAAATCTTGTGGAAATGAATTTTGAATACTAAAAATAAATAAATTAATTTAAAAAAAAGAAACAGGGAATATTTAGGAGAGAACATGATTGCTGTGTACAAGTACTTGAAAGACTGTCATGTGGAAGAGAGAAATTAACCTTCCGTGGAAGGACTAGGAGCAATAGATAGAAGCTGCAAAGATGAAATTTTGAGTTTGACATAAGGGGAAACTTGGTATATTAATATAACAAAGAACTATTTAAATATGGAAAGGAATCTGTTGGTAGCTTGTTCACTTAATTTGAGGTTTTCAAGTAAAGACTGAATAATCATTTGTTAGGCATGGTGTTGGGGTTTCTTATTCAGTATGACTTGGATTAGATGAGGTCTGCTCCAACTCTGAAATTCTGTAATTATGAGAGGAACTGCTGTCTCTTCCTTTTTGATGTGAGTTGGTATACTGTTTCATTAAAGAATCATAAGATTATAGCCATACATTCTTCTGATGAAGTTGTAAATTTTATTAATAGCATATTAAGCCATCAATGGCATTCTCTCATGTAAAAAGTACAGTAGTAGCACTTTACTCATACTTTTGAGTTTCAATTTTGTTAGGCATGTAAGAAGTAAGGCCAAACCTGCAACCAGGAATTTAGTGCTTCCTAGAGCTGCAGGTTAATTCTAAGTAGCCAAAGGTGTCTGAGACTAGCATTTTTTTTTATATTTAGAACGAGAAAGGGAGTTAGAGCCTTTTACATATGTGCCAGTTATGATATATAAACCCCACACACATTTGATTATACCAATAATATGCAGACTAAGGATAAATATAAGGGTTGAGACTCCTTTGGTTTTAGGAGCTGTAGCTATCAATTCATTTGTTATTCCATTTCTGTATTTCCTACCCTCCCACCTCTACCCCAATTGCACCTCCCTCCCCCATCTTTCTCTGTTTGGGGAAAGAAGCCCAGTCTAGTCAGCCTATATTGGTTGGGTTTGTGTGGTTCTAGGCCAGAGTGAAACCTTTGGAAGGGGACAAAGGTTTTGTTCTTTGGAGAATGGGGTACTGTTGTGGAGCCCAGTGAGTCTGAGTGTTATGTTGATGGGAGTAGGGAGAGTTTGAGGACTTCTGGTATTGGTCCAGTAGAGGAAAACAGGGAAGGCAGCTATCTTTGGCATTCATTATTATATTAAGTAGTCCTTTTAGTGAGGTTTATTTCTTATACCCAAATATTTTATTAAATATCAAGCCCATTTTCTCTTGCTTTGTCTTTAGTAGAGATTGAGAGAATAAGAGCTCTTTATGTATTTGTATCTAAAGGCTGTCATAGGACTTAGCACACAGTAGATGCATAATAAACACTTGCTGTGTTGAAGTGAACATTTGAAGCAAAATGGCATCCTGGAAAGAGCACCAGATTTGGAGTTAAGAAGATTTGGGTTTGGATTCCACCTTAGACATGATCTTGGGCAGGTCTTCATTTCCTCTTCTGAAATTAGGGATGATAATTGCATCTACCTTGGAATGTTGATCAAATGTGATATTCTTTGTAAAGTATTTTGCGGACCTTAAAATGCTATATAAATGTCATCTCTTATTTGGACCGGGCATGGGATTACTTTGTAGGGAACTCCTGGTGAGAAAATATCAGTATAGATTGGCACCTGGTCTGAAATTTTTACCATAGAACAGAGATGTCAAACAGTGGGCCCACAACACTACTAAGTACAGTGAACCAGATTAAAATGTAATTGAGAAATATTTAACAAATTAAGCAAAAATGCAGTAAATCATAAATAATGTTAGTATGTGATTTTCTATGTTAATATGAATCCATAATGTTTCTTATATACTGGCCAGTGGCGTGTTTCTATTTGAGTTTGACACCACTGAACTATGTATCTGGAGTTTGTAAGCTTGTTTATTAAAATATCTTTTGTAATTCCATCTATTTTATTTTGTGCATTTAAAAACATTTTTTTTTAACAGGAATCATTAGGCTTTACCAGACTACCGAAAGGGTCCATGAAGTAAAAAAGTTTAGGAAATTTGGATTTGAGAATTGCATGGGGCACTGAGAGATTAAGTGACATGTCCCCAAATCTTGCAGTTAACCAGTCTATTTCAGAAATAGCCAGTTTTTTAAGCCAGTTCTTCCTGACTCTGAGGTCAACACTGTCTACTATGCCACAACTATCTCTCTATTATTATTATTATTCTTAAAGGCCATTATTTTTAGCCTTTTGTTCAGATGAATAACTTTGTGACTCCTTTAACTTTTTCTATCATGAAAGGTTAATAATTTTTGTATTTTTTCTCTGAACCTTTCCCAGTTCTCCATGTCACAATTCAGTGGAATACTGGAATTGAACAGAAGGGGCTGAATAGTAATGAAAGTAATGGATGGATTAATTAATGGATATGACTTATTTCATAGTACTTTATTTAAGCATCAACATAAAGAGAATACATTTCCATAGAATTTTCTAGGTCACTAGAAGTTTCCTTATAGTTTTGGTTAGTGAATCTTGAATTAATTCCATCATTCTCTTGAAGTGTAAAATTCTGAATACAATACTAAGGGGAAAAATAAAACATGAAAACAGACTGAAATTCCTTTTGGTTCTGGACATAATGTCCACAGGTTTAGGAATATTCCAAAATCAATCTTGAACTTAAATTAAAATTCTGTTGTGTGAATGGTAGTAATCAAAGTCACAAAGACTAGGAAACTACTATATAAAGAATTTAAAGGAAATAGAACTGAGGATCCAAGACAAAGCCCTTGTAGATAACAGGCACAAACAGTGGATGAGATGAAAATAAAGTGTCTCCAAGACAGGTATTAGATGAATAGTTTTGAAAGGAAAAACCTGGGATTATATTGGGTTGCGAAAACCAAGACTGGCCCTTTTTAACCCTCTTCTTCCCCCCCCTTCCCCCATCACAGTCCTTCCCTCCAGCCTTTCTTCGTCTTACCTTAACCAGCCTAGATGATGCCATGGTGGAGAAGGCCCAAGAGGCCACGGAGCCTGCCAAGGCAGACATCTCGGGGCTGTGCCAAGACATGTTCTCCAAAATTGCCCTGTACCTGACAAGCAAGCTGACAGCCACCAGTGAAGACTATAAACTTCTGGAAAATATCAACAAACTGACTAGCTTGAAGTATCTAGAAATGAAAGATCTTGCAGTAAACATAAGTAGAAACATAAAGGACTTAAACCAGAAATATACAGCACTTCAGCCTTATCTAAATCAGATCACTTTAATTGAGGAGCAAATAGCAGCTCTTGAGCTGGCAGCTTACTAGTTGGATGCATATTCAAAGAAACTAGAAGCAAAGTACTAGAAGTTAGAGGAGATAAAGGAATTCTTTAGCACAAACACTTTAACTACAAGAATGTTTCTTAAGAGCTGAAATAAGTGGGATGGAATTTATCACTATGCTTCAATTCCCAAAAGGAAGCGGTGCTGCTGATCCAAGGAGAATCCCAGCCCCCCGCCTCTGGTTGGATGTGTAACTTTGGCCACCCTTTGTTGTTTCCTAAATCTGTAGCCTCTGGAACCTCATCTTATTGTGTGCTTCATTGTGTACCCTGGACCAAGGCTCAGAAATCAGGATCAATCCCGTCTAGAGCAGGGACGGAGGAGAGGCTCTCGTCTCCCTGTCTTCTCCCTTCTTCTCTCTCCCCTAGGGCTCCACCTTGGACTCTCTGTTATGAATGTGTGTCGTTCCCCCCCCCCCATAACCTGTTCTTCAACTTAAATAATATGACTTATGACCATAAATAAAAAATAAAACCAAGATTGAAGAAAATTTCAGTCAAGATGGTGGTCCAGCCATAAGGGGAAAAAACCCAACACTTTACCACAGCCAAAAAAAAGAATAAATCTTAAAGAAATCAGGCAGTGTATCTAATGAAAATATTAAAACCCTAAAAATATTTAGTAACTGTTGTGGTCCATTTTGTATCTTTCTCACTTAATATAAACCTGAACTTCTGTTTCCAATGAGACCATCATTGCTAGCTAGTAAAACTAGCTAATTTTAAAGAACATCTTAAAAAACATTTTTATTGATGTTTTTGTTTTTAATTCCTTCCATTTGCTCCTGTCTTCCTTAATCTCTCCAAGGGAGCCATCACTTAGAGAATAAAAAGAGGGAAAAAAAGTTCAGCAAAACTAACATATGCAATATTCTCCACTTATACTGTTATAGACTTTAGTTCCTTGAATATTTTGTCTTTGCCAGTTTTCTCCCCGTAAGGTAAAATCTTTGAGATATTTGAATTTTTATTTCACAAAAAAGCTTCTTAATTGCAGCCTTAGGTGGGCTAGTTGTGGTTAGTTAAGATACTTCACTCACCAATCAGACTTCTGACACCAATCAGACTATTCACATTTAAATTGTATTCTGTGATTCACTTTATTTCCTCCCTAGTTTGTATTTCACTGTTCTTGTTTGTTTATATTTGTTACTGGGAAATAGTAAAGAACAGTGAGATAAAGGCATTATTGAAAAAATAGTAAGACAAATTTGAGGGAGTTAAAATACTGATAGGAAAACTAGTTTGAATTCTAGCCAGTGGGGCCAAACTCATCTGAGATCTGGCCTGCGTTAAGCCCAGAATTAAGTTTTTCTTTGTACCCCCACTGTAATCCTGTCCATAATGTCAAAAGGCAAGTTAGATTAGTATGTGCAGAAAATGTTATCTTGGCCTTACATTTAAATATTTCTTCTCTGTTTCTCTTTTGTTTTCATGAAAATCTACTGTGAAAAAGTCTTTTCCAAAGATTCCTGGGATGTACCCTTTCCTTTTGCTGTTTCTATATTTGCTTTGGGAATCCTTCCTTTTTCTAATTTTTGTCCTTTTACATATCTGACATCCCTGTTGACCTCTGAGTATATCTGTTGCTTGGATGGAGGCAGTGAGAAGCTCTGAATTTGGAGCCAGGAGACCTTATGCAAAGATGCAGTTCTAACATTTGTCTTCTAAGCTGTGATTCTGAGTAAATCACTTAGCCTTTCTGAGTCTCAGTTTTCCTATCAACAAAACTGGAATAATAATACAGTACCTACCTTGCAGGCTTGCTGTGAGGAACGCACATTGTAAAACTTTTAAAGTGCTATATAAATGTTAGTTAATTTTATTATTAAACATGGGCACCACAAACTGTTGCAGAGGCATGTTTATAAGCTAGACCCTTTTACAAATCTTGCATATTAATTTTGTTGCTAATTTACTTATGAAGCATTTTCTTTTAATACTGCAGTGAAAAGAAGAGATTAGATTTGGAAAGAAAACTTTATGAGTATTCCCAATCTGATCTATGTAGGTAAGTAATAATAGTGACAATAGTTTTTAATATAACTTATACCTGTTATTAGATATATATTACATAAGCTACTATGTAGCTTAAAATATTACATATTTTCAAATATCATTGTACAGCATGTGTTTTCATAGTACCTTTGCTATTCTTTTTTTATGATGTAAAAATTATAAAATGTATTATTTAAGTGGATTTGCTTGGAAAAATTAAAACAAAATGAAAATTACATTCTTTTCATTATGTCTTTGTTGTGTGATTTCCACTTTTTTTGTCATACGCTGTCAGAAAAAGGCACTATTTACTCCTTTTGGAGTAAAGAAATAGCCGGTATGATGGTTAATGCATGATTTTCTTACTTGATCTTCAACCAAGTTGCTGCACCAAGATCATCTGACATCTGTTTGTTCATTGATGCGTGAGAGTAATTATGAAAAGTGATATGATTGCATGCACAATTTATAGTTAGCAAATAAATTTGTAGAACACATTCTTAGTATTAGAATTTATGCATTTTGAGATCTACTTTGAGAATGTTTGACTTTTACTTATAAAAACTTTTTTATGAAATAGTATTAAAATGAAACCTCATGTCAAAATCATAAGTGAATAATGAGAGAATCTTACCCAGCAAAAATAAAGGCCAGTTGTCCTGTTTTTATTATTTATTAAACATATCCATATCTTAATTATCAGAATTATCTGTTGGCTTTTAAATCTAGAGGTAGTTGTGCTTTAGTGAAAAGAGTATTGGATATTAACTCAAAAGATCTTTTGTTCAAATCTGCATCTGCTACTTTAAAAGTAACCTTGGGCAATGGTCAGTTAGTCAACAAGCATTTATTAAGTACTTACTACGTGCCAGCACTGTGCTAAACTCTGGGAATACAGATACAGTCAAATCTAAAGCCAGTCCCTGTCCTCAAGGAACCTACGTTCTGGTGGGGAAGACAACATAGAAAAGAGAGCTGAAAAGAAGGGAGGGGTGGGGAGAGAAGGTAGCCAGCTTGGGGCATGATGGAAGAGACCAGAGGAATGCAGCCTGGTGGGAAATGAAGAAATGAGAAGCCCTCTGCCCACCTCTTTGAGCATCAGTTTCCTTGTCTATAAAATGAAGAGAGATTAGTTTAGCTGATCTTTGAGGTCCCTTCCTGCCTTAAATCTATGGCTTACTTGGCATTTTACTGACAATAATGGAAAAGACAAGGACAACACAGCCATATGGACCATAGTAAAAAGAACAGTAGAGCCTTAGATGCCTCAGTCTCAGAAAGTGAACTAGTCATGGACTGGTATGGGAACTGCTATTATTCTAGTGTCCAGTTTCAGGAGAAGACAGGACAGTGGCAAAGAGGTGCAGCATAGTAAGTATAAAGTAGTTTTTGTGATTATTCATACATTCATAGAACAGTGAAATTAAAATAGTCTGAGATACATACGCTCTTCCTACTCAGTAGCCCCAAGTTTGTTAGGATTTGGCTATTGCTGTCTCTAAGCTTTATTTTTATTCTTATATTATATGTTATAATTATATATTGTAGATCACTAGAGAATTCAGGGAGAGACATTAAAATAGGACAGTAGATTCTGAATAATTTGATCAATTTATATACTTCAACAGTCAGATTTGGGGATTGATTTTAGAGAAAATATCCTTAGAATTTGGATGGAGGTTTATTCTATGAGGGTGGATACTTGTAGAGGACTAAGGAAAAATAAAACGAATAAATTTTTACTGAGTGTTGTCTATATATATATATATATATATATATATATATATATATATATATATATATATATACATGCGTGGCTCTAGGCCAAGCTGTAAAAACCACTACTGCTAGCATTATCCCCACTTCAGTTGTTGGTTCCCAACCAACCCAATCTGGAGAGGAAATAGCAGGAGACTATCGAGCTGTGGTGGGGGTGGAAGAGAAGGAAAGTCATGAAGCATCCAGTCAGGAGGGGAAATTGAAGGATGATAATTATGTGAAAGCATACAGTTGCTAGCATGCTAGCATAAATACAAAGAATTTATTGGAAATTACTGGTCTGTGGTGAGATATTTGGAGGTCTTAATTTGAGTCATTTTAGAAATCTCTAAGATTTCTTGTTTTGAAGGTGGATTTTTTCCCTCCTATCTTTGGAGGTTTTTTCCCCTTGATGCAGACTGCTTAATAATGTAATCTGCTAATGATAGAAATACTAAATTTCCAGCAGCAATGGGACAAGGCATTTTACTGTTCTAACAAATTTTGAAAATTTCATCCCTTTGTGGATGCAAATTTCATCCCTTTATGGATGCAAATTTCATCTGGTAACTGATTTTTTTCTTACAGTTCCCAAAACAGTTGTTCCAGACCTTCTTTCATTAAGTCCCTCACACTATTCCTTTCCTCACCTGTCAGCAGACAATCTTGTCTCATACTTTACTGAAAAACTAGAGACCATTCACAGCTATTAGCAGCCTCATCATGTGACAAACTTATTGTAAAACTATCAGCTCAACTTTAAATAGGACTTCTAGTTGAGGTCCCTCTTGTCCCCATCTCTACATCTCAAAACCATTTGACATCATCCCTGATTCTTTCTTCGTTTATTTGGTCTCTACTAGGGTAGAGGCCTTTTTCCTCACTAAGGCCAACATTAATACACTTACCCTTGATCTTATCCCCTTCTATCTTCTTGACTACATCGCTCCCACAGTCAGCCACACTGTCTAATTATTTTCCATTTCCAATGGCTTCTTCCCTGCTGTCTGCAAATGTGCCTAGCTTTCTCCTATCCTTTTTAAAAAAAACCCATTACTTGTCTTTGCTATCCCCTTTGTATATCCTTGTATCTATTTTTCATGGCCACATTCCTAGAAAAAACTTCTACTCTCAATTCTTCCATTTCCTTTTCTTTTGGTCACTTCTCAACTCTGGCTTCTGAATGTCCTTAATTAGCTCAATCATCTCCCAAAGATGTCGATCATTT